AAACAGAAGGTTTATTATTGTTCTGTGCAGAGTAGGTAGTGTATTTAAAGTACCTGGCATATAATAAGTACTCAATAAACAGAAGGTTTATTATTGTTCCATGTTCCCTCCTCCACAATCCCAGTCCCAGGTTTAGGTTAGGGCTTCCTGCAGAGCTTCCTTAGAAGAGCCCCAGCTAACTCTCCCCTGGTTTCCAGGTTAAGCAGCCCCTGCACCTGGGATGTCTGTGGGTCCCCTGGCTCTCTACTTTCCCACTGCCATCAGGTCATCTGGGACCATGTCTCAGATAAAGTTGCCAAAGAAGCCTTTCTGTTTAGCAAATGAATGGTCAATGATCATTTACTTTAGAATGAAATTTTTAAGATACCTACTGCCCTTATCACATATACAGTTCTTCAGTATTCATCCTCATACTTTCCTTTTATGGAAGAAATGCACAGAAACATGCAAACACACACACACACACAGACGCACATCCTTTGAGAGACTTTCTACGTCTCTGAGCATTACCCAAGTATTAAGCCCAGATTAGCAAAGGCTGTTGCTGCTCACAGACCCCCTCACTTCCCAGTTCGGTCCTGTGATGCTGGGAGAGAGGCTGCCCCTGCTCAGCATCCCCTGGGGGCAGCACAGTCACTCAGCCTTTCTTTGCCCCCAGGGGCCCCAGGACCGGCCTGGAAGTGGCTCTTTCCTGCTGGCTCCTATTGCAGGAAGCTGTTCAACTGCGCCCTCTGGAGGGAGCTGTCTGCTAATGATAAAATGGGCTGGGGACCCTTGTGTCTCTGGGGGAGTCAGGCCATGGTGGATCCTTGGAAGGAAACAATAGGACAGTGTATCGTCCAGTTCTTGTCCATGCAGCATGCGTGTAATTGCCTGTCCATGAGCAGCAGGGTCTGGGGTGCTTTTGTGTTCCATTCAGCATCCAAGCTGCCTGATAACTGACCAAGCCTGCAGGCATTTCAGTCCCTCACGTTTTAACCCTACAAAGGAAATAACCCACTCCAAAAGGTGACAAAGATCCTCTGCTTGACCAAACTGTAGTTAGGCTCCTGAAGCTTCTAGGCACATCTGTGCACACTTCCTTGTAAAATCCAGTCTTGGCAAAGAACCCTGGTAAGTCAGTTTAGCAAGAACCTTCTCCCCACCCCACCCCTGATATCTGATTACCCTCAATATTTAACCAGGTTCCTCATCCTCCATCATCACCCAGGTGATGTCTGTTCACCCTGGCCTGTCTTCAGCAAGAATCCTGATAGATCATTTTAGCCAGAATCCCCCTACCCCTGATGTTTCTCATTAGTAATTTTCCATCCACTGACTCCCACACTGCTCCTTGGCTATAAATTCCCACTTGCCCATGCTGTATTCGGAGTCGAGCCCAATCTCTTCGCCCACTGCAAAATTCCATTGCAGTGGCCCCTACACCTATTGTGATGGTCCTGAATAAAGTCTTCTTTACTATGCTTTCACAAGTATCACTGGATAAATTTTTCTTTAACAGAGGGTAGAGGAGTGAAGTTCTGAGTACTCTTCTATAATATGGAAGAGGGTATTTATTTTACTGTAATCCACAACTTTGCAAGATTTCGGAATGCACTGTATTAAACTAGGCCTTGGGGTGGGAGGGAGGAGGAAGAGGGATAAAATCACAGGTTATTGAGATTAAACTGCATGCATAAAACAACCAGAAGACAACTCCTAAACATGAGCCAAGCTGTGTTCACTGTAGCACATGAAGTTCCCCAGAGTGATGAGAGAATGAACACAGCTCAAGTGTGACCGCTAGCAGAAGCCTCGTCATGGTAATAGGGTGGCCTGCCAGTCACTGAGCCTTCACCCAGTGGGGACTAAGCCTTTACTGGATGATCCCATCCTTCTCCAACAACCCTGTGAAATAGGTGCTCAGCAGTCCCATCGTACAGATAAGAAACTGAGGCTCGTGGAGGTAAAGCACCTCGGCCAGAGAACGTAATGAGTTGCAGAGCCAGGGTTTGAATCCAGTGCATCTGACCTTGAGGCCCTGTTCTGAACCACTGGGTGGACACCACTTCTCTTTAAAGAAAGCAGAGTTTGGGCCCGGACTTTGCAAAAGAAAAAGCTGGTTGAAAAAAACAGGAGGCTGCTCTGAGGAAGGGTACAGCGTGGCGGAAACAGAATATGCAATGGCTCAAGAGCTCTGACAGCCCAGATGTGAGCAAAATGTTTGTCAAGACCCAATGTGCAGCCTTCCAGGCCCTGACGGATGATGAGTGGGAGATGGGTCTGGGGTGGGCACAGTGCTCAGCACGGGGGAGGAAAGGGATGGAGGCTGAGCAATGAGAATCCCCTTGGGCTGGATATTTGGCTGTTTGGGAAAACTTTAGACAACAAACCAAACCAGTCTGATATAAACTACAGGTGAGACAAGCTTGGTCCTCCTTCCATCAAGAAGGCCAGTGACTCTGACACAGGAGACGTGGACCAGGGGAAATCTGAAGGTGAGAAATCAAGGGACAGACCACTCCCCCACTGCTGTCACTGAAGCTCCAAGGGCCGATGTGGGAGCCACATGCAGGCAGTCCCTGCAGCATTGAAGGGAATGTTGTAGCTTGTCCTTATAATTTAGACTAAACCCACTTGAACACTCACAGCCACTTCTGCTGTCTGAGGTCAGAGAATGCTGGAGCTAGGAATTTAAAGTAACATTTAGTCACCATCCTCACCGCTGCTGCCAGCTCACCCAGCCACACACACACACCAGCCCTGTTAGGATGTAACTGGACTTAGTTCAGGCTGGGCTTTAGCTCAGAAGCTTCAGGAAAGGGAACCCCACACTACTCTCTGGTCATCGATTCTGGTATTAACATCATCTATGATAACGAGGTCTTTCAAATGCTGTGGTTTAAACTAATTTTCTTTTTTTCCAGTCTGCAGGGGGTAGAGGATGGCTCTCACATTAAATCCTTAAGTTTAAAATGCTTTTTTTTTTTTTGACCGATAAGGGGATCGCAACCCTCGGCACAGTGTGGTTTGCACCACGCTCAGCCAGTGAGCCCACCAGCCATCCCTATATAGGATCGGAACCCGCGGCCTCGGGGCCCCCAGCGCCGCACTCTCCCGAGTGAGCCATGGGGCCAGCCCTAAAATGCTTTTTATAAGATATATGCCAGTTGTTAAAATTGGTTATCTCTGGGACATAAGATAATGGAAGATTTCCTATTTTTCACATTATTGTATTTTTAAACTTATATGTATTATTTCTGCCCCCTCACCCCAATAAAAGAAGTATATTTTAAAACTTTTTCATGGAGCATTATTTAATTGCCTCTTTCCCACTTTTCTCCAGTTTCCTCACTTTTCTAGTTTCACCCAGAGGTTGACAACTGTTTCCTCTGTGGGTCAGGCAGGTGACATTAAGTGAGGAGGAGGAAGAGTAGGACAGTGCAGGTGACCAGGACTCTGGCACACTGCAGAGGGCACACCTGGCCAAAAGTTATTCAAATCCGAAACTGAGCTGTGGGTCATCTGCCCGCAATCTTTCCCCATGAGCACTTTTCTCCTTTCTATATTTCCTGGTTCTTCATGCTTTCTAAATGAGTATGTGGAGCCCCAAAAAAGAACACCTCTGTTTTGGTGATCTGGAGACATGCCATCTTCTGTTGCAACAACAGCAATATTGGCCCCATGCCAAGCACTCAGTGGCATGCAAGATTTACACCTGCCAAGGCTGAGCAGTCCTCTAAGTCCTATGAGAGGCCACAGGAGACAAGGCTTCTCTTCCCAAGCAAAAATCCCAGGGAAACAGTGATTCATGGACTTCACTCTGCATCAGCTCAGGTGCCATGGCAACAGGGCACCACATCCGGAGCAGATGGTACTGCAGACTGCCCCTGTCACATGGTGCCTCTTCTGGCAGGACAAGCCACCTCACCAAGCAGGCTTGCTGCTGGCCAACTGGCATGGAGTAACACCTGGTAACTATTTACAAGGCTCAAAATACACCCAGAGCCAGCAGATGGCAGGGCCGGGCTGACATGTGGGGAGGATGGAGGGCTGGTTTGGACTGAGGCAGAGGCAAGGGCAGCAGAACACCAATCTGGCTGGGTCTCTCCACGTGGTTGGGGCTGGGAAGAGTTGCAGTGTGAGCAAAGCTGAAGTGATCGCAGGCTGGCCCCTGGACACTGAGGGAAAGCAGCATTGTACAGACTCAGTCCCCTCCTACAGGGAAGGTGATAGAAGCTTCCAGCCAAAGGCAAGCAGCTCTGAAGCACTAGGTGTAAAAATCTCAACCTTGATGAGTGCAGAGATGAAGGGTCCTGTGGGGCAGGGCCTGTGTCCTTGTCAACTTGATCCCCACGTGGCCCTGGGCGTGGTACACAACAGGCAACCAGAGGCATTTTGGGGGATGAACCGGGAAAGTGTGTGATGTAAACCCAACAGAGTGACCTTTGCCTGTGACTGTGTTTGGGGCGTATGTATTTTTTTAAGACAGGATGTCGGCTCTAGAACATTTTGTGAGACATCCTGAGCCCTGACAGCACCAGTGAAATTCTGACGTAGTTAGTCCAGGGTGATAAATGGGTGTTTCATTTCCTGCTTTGGAATTCTTTCCAGTCACAAGACCCTCGGTATCTCTCAGGCCCGCAGCCAAAGTTTGAACGGGAATGACACTCGGGCACTCCCATGTGGACAGCAGCTTTCTTTTGCCAAATGTGGAGTATTCGGACTTGGAGTGTTTTCTTCTTCCTTCTCCCCCTTCTCAAGCTTCCCTCTCACCATGGAGGTTTTTGGACGGTGTCAATCTGTAGCGATAAACATCAATCATAGGTAGACCCTAAACCCCAGCATCAACACCAGCATGAATAATCTAAGGGTCAAACTGTGCTGAAGGTCAAGGAGCCAGGAGGCACACAGTCTCCCAAAATGTGCTTAGACATGAGCACTGGGCACTTCCTGGAGAACTGCTAGAAGCTACGGGCTATAGGAGTCAGACAAATGATTATCAGAAAGAATACATTTTCTGTTTTCATTTTTATTGGGAAACTCAAAGAAAAGGAACAGAGATGATTGAGCCTCCAGACAATCCCCGATGCAGAGCCACGACATGCTTGGGAGATCCTGGATGGTGAAGGGGTAGACTGTGAGGCTCAGCAACATAATCCAAAGTCAAAGGCAGCAGGGTTGTTCTGGAAATAGAGATTTAAGAAGCACTGGAAGATGGTCTTATCTATGAGAAGAGAGCACACTGTGGGGTCCTGCTTCATGGCTGCTATCCACAGCTGAAGAGCTGGGGTGTGGTTCACACAGCTGCAAGACAGGAGAGAGGTGTCACACGTTACAACAGAGAGCATCAGGAAAAGGGACATGTATGGCCTTTTAGATTCACAAGATACGAAAAACACGTTTTCCGGGGGAATCAAGTAACCTTACTTATCAAGTGAGCATGATCTACTGGAGGAAAATCTCATTTTTGGAATAGCTGCATGTGTTTTTGAATCACAGAAGTTGTTGTTCCTTCTCACAATACAGTGAAATACTTGTGGACTGAAGGCTCTGGGGAAATAAGATGTCCATTCTTCATCATTTACAACAAAAGGAACCCTCCAGAACAAACACTCTTGGGTCATGCTCAGATTTTACTTTAGGGGGTGTGAAAAATAAAAAGACAAGTAGTTTCCAAAACATTTTTTTTGAGTGAATGAAACAATTGTGAAACCTTGAAATAATGGAGCTGACAGGGCCCTTTCAAAGATCAATTAGGAAATTCAGGTCTAGAGTATGTAAAGCAACATGCTCAAGACACTACCACTGGTGAGTGAAAATCCAGGACTGGAGGTGGGGCTTCCTAACCCATGGTTCAGTGCTTTGTCTTTGGAAGAGGCAGGCTTTTGGAATTTTTATGTTTGGAATAGAGTTTAAAATATCCAAATATGTTATATTTTATCTTCCTTCAGAGAGAGCTAAAGTTGGAAGTGCACGAGATGACCCTCAGGTAGACTCCAGCCCGTGCATTAGGAGGGTATAGACACAGTCCTGCTTCAGCAGAACCAGATTTCCAGAAACCAGAAATGGCCTCACCCACCAAGCGGCTGGCTGGGATTAGAGCAGGCACCAGCTTTGTGGGAACAAGGCACGTGTTCTGCCCACGACCCTCCACACCTGTTTGCTCAGCTTTAACTTCCCTACTCTTCCATGGTGTGAGGCTGATGGTTTTGTTTGTATGTTTTAAGGTAAATGAGATGTGACCAAGGTATATGGTGTCTGCTGGGTGACTCAGCAGGACCAGGTGGAGGGCCCACGGAGGCAGCTGCAGCCCAGGCATCAAAACACTGTGACTGTGACCATCACCTGCTTCTACAACCCACGTGTGTTTGGATGGGCTAGTGAAGACAGCAGGCCCTGAAGCTCCATGGCAGACTTTTGGACACAGGGTCTTCTCTGCAGAAGTATAGGGAAAGTGTGAGTCTGCAGTGAGTGGTAGAAGAGCACCAGTGCATTTTTAATAAGTACACCTTGGTGGTCTAAAGCCTGATCTCACTTCTCATACGTCCTGAAACATGTCCTCAGGGGGTTAATAGTGCACAGAACATTTCAACCATTGTTACTCAGTGTGACTCCAGGAATTCTTGACCATATGGTCAAATGTCTTACTCGGATATCCCATATACATCCAGCCTCTCAAACCAGGGCCAGAGGAGGTAATCGATCATGGAAATGCAGTCTCCACCAAAGAAGGTGCTGTTCTGATAGTCAAGAATCTAAAAATGTAAACAGGATAAGAGCTAGTTAATTTACATATCTGCTGACATATCTTCAGACACTAAGTATAAATAACAAATGAATTCCCAAAAAGGGAGAACTAAGACTTCGATTCTCCTTCCTATTTGTTAGGAGAATGTTTCTTCCCTTTTCCTGAGGTTTCCTCCACCTCCTTTAGGGTCACACTCCTGGCCACACTCAGTCCCCTCCCTTCCTCCCTTCAGCACCAGAGGAGCAGCGAGTCCATGTAATTGGAGAATTTGGAAAAACAGCCTAGGCAGAGGGAGCCCAGCTCCCCGCTGTGAGCCTGGAACAGGCTCCTTGTGTGCTCAGCTTTCCTCGGATGAGCTCAGCCCCTGGAGACGGGAGGCCCTGCTCAGACCACCGCTGCCCATTACTTGGGGAGAGGGGCTCAGCCTGACGCTGAAGGCCAGCAGTAGGAACCCCACCTGTACAGCTGCTTCATCTATAACAAAGAGGAAAATGTAGTCTCCATCTGTCTTACTCTTGTGACTTATTTCTCAACCGGTTCAAAATGAAGACAGGAAAGAGCAGTGCTATTTCATGGGCTCCCTCAAATCCCAACCTTGCCTCTCCATCATGCTTTCTTTCTCTACCTGAGCTCTTCAAACATCACAGTTGTTGGCCACTCAATTTATCAACTTTTTACATTAAAGTAAAATTTCTCATCCCCAAATGGACAAATCAGTCCAGATAGATAGACTGTAAAGAAAACAGACAAACTCTCGACAGACAGGTAGCCAAAGACTATCCCAAAATAAAAGCACCCAAAAATTTGAAAAAAGCAAAAGTGTTTAGCAGAGGTTATTGTTGGTCCAAAAGTATGGTGCCAATTACCTCGTTAAATCGAACAAACTACTCACTTTGACCAATATAAACAACTAAATAGCTCCCTATGGCTATAGACTAGATTGCTGGGCCCAGGTGAGTTGTGGAAGTAAGCTATGCTGGTGTTCCCATCCTGGGATGTGGGACTCTGGTGAGGCAGAGGGCCACAGTCAAGCCATAAATTAGGGTCCCAGGGCAGGGATGACACTGGCAGCCAGGAGACACTCAGGCTTGCCTCTTCATGTGCCAGGCCAGCTTGCTGACTCAGCTGTGAGGTGGTCTAGGGTGGTAGCTAAGCAGGTGAGCTCTGGAGACAGCAGACCTATAGTGGGCTTCACCTCTGATTCAACATGGGACCCAGGGCAACTTAACCTACCTCCTCCTCCAAGCCTCAGTTTACTTATCTGCAAAGTGATGATAATGTTAGTACCCACCTCAGAGGTTATGGTGAGGAGTAACATAATCATTCATGAAAAACACTCTGGCCCTACTCAGTAGATGTAAGCTCTTGTGAAGAGTAAGAGCAGAGACCACCAAAGGTTGCATTCACAGAAAGCAAACCCATCCCTGACAGAAAAGATCAATGAACTCCTCTTCCCACCACCCCTTCTCAAGGAGAAAAGGAAATCTTGTTGCCCTAAAGTCTAAGTCTTCATACCTCCCAGTGTGATATAGAGGGGTTCCCCAATCATTGTCCTGGAAGTGTGAAAAAAATGTTAGGTGACATCACTTTGTTCAAAGAAGCTAACAGGATGGTACTAAAACAGCAGAATGAAACTTGAAACAGAAGCCATTTTCAGTCATGCATAAATAAGATCTGGTTTAGAGGGGAAAGGAACAAATCATTCAGTTTCTATGAATCCCAGAAGGCGGCAAATTTTCTCTATGTTCGGGAATAAATTACAATTTCCCAAATTCTTACTGCTGACTTTGAAATGTACACCTGCAGCCTGTTATTGGACTTCATGGCACAAATCAGAACCAAATCTAAACCCATCAACTCTGGAACATCTGTATACCTTTTGCTTTTCAGAGCAGAAGTGTTCTTAGAAAAGTCCTTGTCAACACAAATCACATATAGACATTTAATGGAACCCCTGTTGGGTCCTTTGGTGAAGTGATGAGATAATTTTGAAAATGAATAACTGCTTAGTAATTGATATTTGTTTAGTATTTTTAAAGTTTTCCATTTACTCAAAATAGGAGTATGCCTTTAAATATATATGATCTTATAGATGCCAACAATTTTATATAAACACTTGTAAAGTAATCCAGGCCTTACTGAGGTACTCGGCACAAGAAAAGGTCAAGATGAGCATGTGGATGAAATGAATCAACTCTCCTTCCACAGCCCTTCCCTCTCAAAATGCACACACACAGTCCCTAAGATTTTCTTAGAGCCACATGGGATGTGGGACCCCGACATCAAACTACTTGGAGTTCTTGATACAGCTGCAGATTCTTGAGACCTGCCCCAAACAGGCATTTCTCCACCAATTTCACACAGGGCAAGTCTAAAATTTCCAATAAAAAAGCTATCTTCCCATAAACTAGCACAAAGTGCTGACGCCTTCTCAGGCACATCCCAATCACATAGGAAAACATCCTGGCCAGGCCTCCTTGGAGGTCTGTTGAAGTCTTTAAGACCCTCAGCAGGAGAGCTCCCTTCCAGGCAAACCTGGTACCTTCCAGACATGTAAAATTACTTTTCCCCTTAGAATCCTACAGCATCAGTATTGGAAGGGCCCTGGGACTCAACTAGTGTGACACTGTCATTTTACCACTTATTTGTACCATGCTCATTACACAAAGGATTAGCGGTGCAGTGTAAAAAATGTATGCAACAACACATTAAATAGGAAAAATAATAAAATGCTAAGATCAGGGAAAATAAAAGCTGAAACAGAAGGTCAAAACCAGGAGGGAAAACAATCCCAAGACATCAAGTCATGGGTCCTACAGAGTTCTTAAATAAAGCTTTGCACTTGACTCCAGTTTCCTGGCAGGCAACACGAAGAGGTAAACATGCTGCAGCTGATTCTTGTCTCCCACATGGAAGTACAGGGCATCCTCACCTTACAGAGGAGGAAACCTGGTTCCAGGGAGGTAAAGGGGCTCTCTGGTTAGTGCCAGAACTAGGACAAAACACCATTCTCCTAATTCCCAGACTCATGGCAACCTTGCGTCATTCAGTTTCAAATATGTGTTCATGAGCACTCTAATCACAGAAGTTACCCCAAGTCTCTTGTGAATTCTTTGCTACGTAACAGCAGAAAAGCTCTGAACCAGCACACTCTACAGCCAATGACTGGCCCATCTCTCAGCTTCCCTGTGAGAATTCCCTCTCAGTCTTACTCTTTCTCACTGTCTGAATCAGGAGCTCATGCCAAAGCACCTAACTGGCTGGCAGAGACGAGGTATGCCAACATAGCCATGGTGAAAGCGCTTGTCAAAATCCTCACCAACCTGTTTCACTCCATTGAAGAGCAGGTCTTCGGGCAACATTACTAAAATAGTTCTTTTCTGTTCTCAGTTTAAACTAAGTCTCTCTCATTTACAGTCAACTAGCTACTCTGAAAAAAATTTAGGATAGAGCCAGAGGTAAAATAAACTGACAGTCTTCACTTCCAATGTCTTATCTTTCCTAAGTGTTTTATCTTCAGAAATGCAATGAGAAGTTGACCTGCGATCTCGATCCACATAGCAGTGGTTACATTAATATCCAACGTCATTTTAAAGAACTCTGTGTTGAATTCTTTTGGTCTCCCACCTGATCATATATCACACACGATGATACCGGCCATTCTTAATGCTCAGTAGTTTCCCCCACATTGGAATATCTCACTTTCAGAACTGTTGTCCTTGGTATCACCAAGCAAGGCAAAATAGCCTGCTTAGAAGGTGCTTTTCTTCAAAGGTCCCAGATATCCCCTATAAGACTTCCACAAATGAACAGAGGAGGAAACTGAGGCTCTAGCTTCTAGCCCTCAGATTTTCTGAAAGCATTAACACATCCTCAATTCAGGCTTAAGAGTTAAAGAGGTTTACTGAATCTTTAGGACCCTCAATAGCAGAGCTCCCTTCTAATGCAAACATGATTCCTTCCAGACATGTAAAATTCCTCTCCCCTTTAGAATCCTAAATATTTTGTGTGAGATACTTTGTGAAAAGGCGTTTGATGTTCTGGAATATTAGGAAAATCTCTTTTTAACTTTTCTGTTCTCCAGTTCGCTGCAAAATAAGATTGCGAACTCAATGAGGCGTCATGAGTGAGCCATGCAGATGAAGAAGGAGGGACTATCGGGTTTGACGATTTCCAACCCCTGAGCGTGAAAAGCCGGGCTGGATGGAAGGGCCCCTCTTCCTCTGCGAGGGCCTCTCGGGCGCCCCCAGAGGGACGAAAGGAGAAAGGCAGCATTTTGAGGTAGAAGCGCGCAGGGCTCCCCCTGGTGGCCATCAGTGGGGAGGAGCCCTGGCCATGGCTCCCCGAGAAGGTTCCACAGGAGGAAAAAGAAATCTGTTGTTTTTGTGAGAGAAACAAGAAGATCATAAAGAGAAGCGGACTCCAGACTTCTTCAAACCAGGCATTCTAAAAAGCTAAAAAAAAAAAAGCTCCAGTCTAAGGTGTTGGACTGTCAGGTTCAGCCTCAATAATTGAGCTTCCAGCGTTGATGCGGCTTCCTTCGTTTACACTGTCACTTACACCACTGCCAAGACATCCCCCGCTTCCCATCCCAAACTGTGTGGCAGCTGCAAGCAGGGGCTGCTGTACTTGCTGGCGGAGGAAGACGATGCTTTTCTTGATGGAAACAGATCTTTTTTTTTTTTTTTTTCTTTTTTTTTTTTTTGTCTTTTTTCGTGACCGGCTACGGATTGCAACCCTCAGTGTCGCGCCCGTACTGGACCGGGATGGCAACGGGATCGCAACCCTCTGTGTCGCACCCGCCCCTCGCTCAGCCAGTGAGCGGGAACCGGTCTGTATGTGGGATCCGACCCCTCAGCGGGAGCGCCCCCACGCTCACAAGTGGCGCACTGTAGCAGTGCGCCACCTGCCGGCCAGAGTTTCTGCTTCTTAAGATCTGTTTCCGGCCGGCCAGGTGGCGCACTGCTACAGTGCGCCACTTGTGAGCGTGGGGGCGCTCCCGCTGAGGGGTCGGATCCCACATACAGACCGGTTCCCGCTCACTGGCTGAGGGAGGGGCGGGTGCGACACAGAGGGTTGCGATCCCGTTGCCATCCCGGTCCAGTACGGGCGCGACACTGAGGGTTGCAATCCGTTGCCGGACACGAAAAAAGACAAAAAAAGGAAAAATAAAAAAAAATTAAAAAAATAAAAAGAAGCAGAAACTCGCTCCCCACCCTTCCCTCCCCCGAAAAAGACACACAACCATTTGCCAGTATGTCAGCAACATGGGCCCTTGACCAGAAGCCGCAGAAAAGTACTCAATCCCAGGACAGAAACCCTTTGAGTTCATAAAAGGTAAGTGGAGGTTCTCAAGATTTCAAATTTCAGGTCTGAGCTAACGATTGATGAACCAATTTCCTGTAAAACAAACCTGGGGTATAGCACAAAGGTAGGGTATAGCTGAGACCATGTTCTCCTCTAGGAATAAATAGGTAGAACATGCCCCTTCTGCTGCTCAGCATTTATGACCTGGACTCTCCTATGCAGATGAAGAATACAACTTGTCAACATTTGGGGGTTAAAAGACCACTCTGAAAATTCTATGCTGGAATCCTTTTAATGGGCTTAATTCTTTTGTTCAAAATATATTTGTAAGATAATGGGGGGTGGGGGAAGCTAGTAGGGTAATGCTTAACCAGTCAAATATCTATAAGTGATGGATGGTGGATGAAAGTATAAATGAATATTTATTCAACCTCTGAAGGGGGAGAGGACTTCCTATGAATAAAAGCAGTGGAAGAAATCGCAACAGAAAAGGCTTACAGCATAATATTTTTAAATGTTATACTTGTATACGTACAAAAAAGATAAGCTAAATTAAAAGTTAAAAGAAAACAAAAATTAGTTTTAAAAACAGTCAGATATCATTTATATATAAGGAACTCTTTAAGAGGAACTTCTACAAATCAAGGAAAATCATTAAGACCCTCCATAGGCAAATGGGCAAAGCCCCTGAACAGACAGTTTTCTCAAGACCAAACACAGAGATGGCATACTTTGGGGAAAACCTTCCACTTCGCTAGCAATCAAAGTACACATTAAACCAACAATGATACATTACTGTTTATCTCCAAAACAAGCAAATATCTTTTTGAATGAAATTTCCCAACAGTGAAAAGGAGATAGTGCAAAGGGCATTTTCATACTTCGCTGGTAAGGGATTAACAGCACGAGCCTTTTGGGAAGCAACTTACTAATATACAGCCCCAGCCTCCCAAGTGTTCATACTTTTACATCTGGTAACTCCATTCCTGAGAGTCCAGCCTGAAGGCATAGTCTAAACTAGAGAAAATGCTTTCTGTGCAAAGAAGCTGCTATTCCCTGCAGCACCATTCAAAATGGTAAAGGATTGGAAACCATCCAGACACCCCTAATTAGTGTGCTGGGTAAATAACTTTATGGTTTATATACGGGGCAAATTATACAAACATTAAAAGTGATTTTTTTTCCACTTTTCTTTCCCACCCCAGTTTTAATCAACTCCTGGAGGAAATGGTTAATGGACTTCTGCGGTCAGCACCCAAGGACGTGTTCGCTTGGTGAACTCGCAAACGAGTTAACCAAGAAATGTCAAGGATTGCAAACAATCCTTGAGAACGCTTGAAGTTGTGAGAACACTTTCTTGGGATGTTCCCAGGAGGCGCATTATAGATAATCAAGTGCTTGAGAAGGGAGGTAACAGCCTTCTGCTCTTGAGAAAAGTATAACAGAATTTATGCATTAATGCTTATCTTGCATGCACAAGCTTGCTAAATGTAATAAAAGCTGTAACAGCATCTGGGTCGGTGCTACTTGCCTGAGAGAGCAGTAGCCCCCTGCTCTTCACATGCATCTCGTCTGCAGTGTCTTCCTTCGTGTCTCCGATCATTTTAATCAACAACTCCCTTCACGGTAGTAGCAACTATAGGAGTTTGATATGCATCTCACCAGATATTTTTCTAGGCATTCATTTACATGTGTATACACACACATACATAGTTAAATTTTCTTCTACTAAAATGGGATCATACCATCTATATTTCTATGTAATTCACTTAAATATTTCTAGGCAATCTTTTCATGTCAGTACACATAAATCTACCTCATTCATTTTTAACTGCCCTACAGAACTCCAAAGATAAATATAATTTCTTTAACCATTCCCCACCTAATGGATCTTAAGGTTTCTGACTTTTCATCTTCACAAATAATCCTGCTCTAATAAACACACTTACACATATAAATAAGCATTTATAAAGTTCATAAAAATATGGGGAAAATCTTTATATCATAATGGTAACCAAGTTTTATACACAGCACAATTTCAACTAAATAAAAATATCATAGCAGAAAAGGACAGTAAAAAAAAAAAGTCCCAAGATAATAACAGTCATTATTTCTGGGTAATGGGATTATGGATTTTTTTTGTTGTTGGTTTCTAAATTTTTCCTGTATTTTCCAAATTCTCTCTAATGAACAAGTATTGCTTTATAATTACAGAAGAGTAAAATTAATTTTTTAATAATAAGAATAATTATTACTCTATTATGTACATGATGGGAGAGGGTATAGCCTATTAAAAGAAATACAGCAAATACTAATTTACCTAGAAAGCAGCCATCAGAATTGGACAATGAATTAAGTTGCTAAACTAGTGACAGCACTAAAAAGCTCAATTAGTCATCCTGAGTCAGGGATAACCAGTTTAGTGTAGAAGAACAGTGGTTAAAACTAAAATGTCGGGGCCGGCCTGGTGGCGCATGCTACAGTGCACCGCTTGGGAGTGCGGCGACGCTCCCGCCGAGGGTTCGGATCCCACATACAGACCGGTTCCCGCTCACTGGCTGAGCGAGGTGCGGGCGCAACACCAAGGGTTGCGGTCCCGTTGCCGGTCCCGGTCTGGTACGGGCGCGACACTGAGGGTTGCAATCCGATGCCGGACACGAAAAAAGACAAAAAGGAAAAAAAAAAAACAAAACTAAAATGTCATGTTAGTAGACATGTTAGATTATCTAGCAAATTTAAGAGAATTGACAACATACATCCACACAAAAACTTGTACACAATATATAGCAGCATTATTCATAATAGCCGAAAAGTGGAAACAACCCAAATGTCCATTAACTGATGGGTAGATAAACAAAGTGTGGTGTATCCATACAATGGAATATTATTCAGCCATAAAAATGAATGAAGAATGAACCTTGAAAACATTATGGTAAGTGAAAGAAGTTCATGAAAGGCTGCATATTGTGATTCCATTTATATGAAATGTCTAGAATAAGTAAATCCATAGAGACAGAAAGTAGATTAGTCATTGCCTATGGCTGGGAGGATTGGG